GCCCAGCAACAGGACAAGAGGCAATGGGCAGAAACTGAACCACAGGAAGTTCCATCTGAACCTGAGAAAAAACTTCTTCACTGTGAGGGTGACAGAGCATTGGAACAGGTTGCCCAGAGAGGTGGTGGAGTCTCCTTCGCTGGAGATATTCAAAACCCGTCTGGATGTGATCCTGGGCAATATGCTCTAGGTGACCCTGCTTGAACAGGGAGGTTGGACTAGATGATCTCCAGAGGTCCCTTCCAACCTAAACGATTCTGTGATTCTGTGATGTCTCCATGTACAGCCTCTTGCTAACAGATAAAGTCATATGACACAAAAATCACATTTAAAGAAGCTCTCTGTAGAATGTTTGTGGGTGCCAGCCATGCACTGATCAGGCAGGTGAGGTTAATCTTCACAGGTTTATATCTCACTGAACAACACCAGCATTTTTCAATGACAGATTTTTCAGAAAGTTTTAATCATAAGTTTCTAGATGGTATAATCTCTGTAACATATGTTGTATTTCTAGAGGAGGCGCTACGAAACTACATCCTACATAAGATCTAGGAGCAATGCAACGCCTGTGTTTCCTTTAAGCATTAGAGCAGAGCAACTTAAAGCAGAGCCTCCGAGTTTGCAAGGTGATTCACACCTGAAGCCTCAAAGAAACCAAGGAGAGCTAAAAACAGTCAATAACCAACAGGAGCACTAATGGGTTGGATCCTACAATGCTCTAACAAACAAAAATACATCAAGGAGATTTAATTTACCTTGGCCTTGTAGTATTCCTCGACTTCAGGCCTAATGGAATCAAAATCGCCGCTGATGTAATCAGGTAAGAAGCTGAAAGAAAAGCAATGAGCAGTGAAATGAAAAATTCAACCATCTTAGTACATTTATTTTTAAGAGAGCTGAAGGGTATAACTAGTCATCTCTCAAAGGAATGGGATATACCTAAAAATATGTTAAAAGATAGTTGATACATGGTAAGGTAGCAGAAAAAGTGTAAAATCATTAAATCTAGTACCCCCTCACCTTTTTTTTTTTTTTTTTTTTAAATGAGTGACCTACACACTCCTTAGGTGTTCACACATCTCCCCAAATCAGTAAAACAAGACTTGTATCTGCATGTTGAAAGAAAGAGAACTTGTCCTTCCAAATATCTTTCACATGTATTGTTTGGTCAGCAAAATATCTGAAAAGGCATCTCTGTGGGTTGTATATGTATCATTTGTCAGAAAGTGATGAAAACAAGCATTTCTGGACAGCTGTTATACCTCTTTATTTATTTTTTAATCCATGAGCAAGTCAGATCAGTGCAACATCTCAGGTTGTAGCAGCAACTCCAGGTATCGACTTTGAAGTTATAGCCAAATACTACTAATGGCTTAGATGAGAGAGAAGGGCCATGTCAAAAGGTGCGCAATGTGGGTTTCTGTAGCAAAACCCAGATCTTCCTCAAAGAACCTAAGCTGGCCACCTCCAGTTTCAGAACTCAATAAGCTTTAAGAGCTTTCGTGGTGTGTCAAAACACTATAGTGAACCTGTTCAATTTAGCACCCAGGAATGTGTTGCTTTCTTTCTACCTATACAAAGTTTCTGAAATTTACTAATCAAGTAAGTGTCACCTGAAAACCTATTCAGTGTAGTTCTTGTTCTCTTAATAATTTAGCGCAGTAAAATTCTGAGGAAAAGGACAGTGAGATTAGTCTGTTTTCCTACTGTGATATGCTCACATTTACTGTATGCAATGCTTGGGTTTTTTTCTTTCTTCTTCTTCTGTGCCAAAGAGAATACAGTATTAATATATTTGATGACTGATTCAATGAGATACCAATATTTGTTCAAAACTCATATTGTGGTTGTTACTGACACACTATCCCTTTCCTCTGTTTTTTTTTTGTTCATTAAAAGGACTCCTCCCCAAATAAGGAAGTTAAATGGGGGAGGGAGGGGGGAGGGCATTAAGCCGTATCCTGAATGCATGAAATGCCTATGAGCTAGTTTCAAATCCTAACTATCATTCACAAAATAATATTGCTGAAAATCACATAGAAATTGTAATGCAATGATGTTTATTTTATCTCGCTTTGCTTGTTGTGTTTTTTAATTGCAGAATGCCTTAAGTATTTAATCCATACACTCTTATCAACTTGGAATGAAACTTCAACGTGTTCAACACGTTAAGACAGGTGAAAGTGTTGTCACTGGTCAATAGGTAAGGCTGAACTGTATTCTAACATTAAAGCAGTGATTTCACCATTTTCTAACAAATGACCTATATAGCTCCTCTTCCCAAAGTTATCAAACTTACGATGGGCCTCAGAGATCATCAGCAAATTAGCTTACAGCTCCTGGAGTCAGAATGAATGGAAGCTGAGTTACAAGGAATGGAGCAAAGCATATTGGCACATATTTTCTTCCAGTTGGTCTTCAGAGAGTGATGTAGAGCCTGCGAACTCCACAAATCAGTAAAACGTTCAAAAAAATCTTGTGTTCTGGCTATGTTGAAAGATTTTCAAAGGCTTGAATGGTAAGTGGCCACAGTTTTCTTTAAAAATTGAAATCTTTCAGCAGAAGCTGATAAGTACAATTGCAAGTTAGTTCACAAGCAGCTATCGTATTTCAAATTCACTGCCCTCTACTATTATTATGGCTGTCATAAAAGGGTATGTTCTAAAAATAATCTCACTAAGAGTGATGCTACCACACCCTCACAGGGAAAAAGGTAGACCTTTCTGGCATCAGGTTTTATAAAGGACACAGAAAGCAACTAAAAGGAAGGCAAATATTTCAGTGCTTTGTTTTAGATGCCCAAGTCAGTGCCATTCAAAACCAGCAAAAGTAAAAGGAGAGTTGGATGCGCTCCTTCTCAAGAGACTGACCTCTTCAACGTACAGACAGAAATCTCATGTTTCAAAAATTTAAATTTAAAATAAAATCACTGCCCGTTAACCTTTTTACAAGTCTCCTAGTGAACTATTTACTGATTACAATAAGCCTAAAAAAAGCTAAGGACAATCTCTTTCCCATTGTTATTTTTCTTTCTTTTTTTTTTTTTTTTTCCTGATTTAGAGAAAGCCATTAAAACTAAACTCACTTTAGGCCTTATAATGATGCCCTAAGAGGTATATGCTTACTCCACTGTTCTGTGCTGCAGCCAAGCTGGCTGAGCACCAAGACAGCAGCAGTCATGGAAAGCCAACTTGCTAACACACATATTAATTCTGATGAAAAAGCCAATGTCTTAAGGTAGTTTATCTTACTGAAATGCTGCACATAAATCCAAAACTATCTTTGTCATTTTCCTCTATAGTAAGTGCAAGCTGCAGTGTTTTTAAATAACCAAGCACACCTGCTCAATAAGTGCTTCAAGAGGTATAATTGTCTGGGGGCAGAATTAGCCAAAAATTTATCTTCTCTAAATCAAATGCTTCCGCACAGCTTTTGCTCTCCTCCCAGTTAAAAGCAACTCAATGCTAATAGCTAGCTGAACTTCTCTCTTGAGTTCTTACAAGCAAAAGATTTGAGAAACAAGCAAGCACCTCTGCTGCGCTCCTGGAGTGCTCTGCAAGGATTCCTGGTTACGCTGCCTCTACGGGTCTCCTCGGCCAGGAAGCAATACACCAAAATATTCTCTTTAAATAGCTCAGCTGTAACCACCTCAAAGCCAGACATGATTTCCAAAGAGTAAGCAATCCTGGCTGGGAAATTTTAACTTCCAAAAGGTCCAAGCCTCACCTTACCTAACATTGCCTTTTTCTAGAATAGGAGCTACAGCACTGCCAGTCCTTTCTTTTACTTCTCCCCCTTTCTTCCCCTTTCCCTTCTTCTAACACCAGAAACAAGGACAAGTCGAAAAGGCACGCTCGGCGAACTCAAAAAAGAACCATCATGAGCAAATCGCAACTTGCACTGCCTGCCTCCCAAACAACAGAAAACAATTCAGCTTTATCTTCACAAGCTAGCTGCTTTTTGCAGCTGATTATCTGAGCAAACCACTAAGAGCAAGCCAAATTTCAGCCCAAAGTCAAAAGCTGTGCATCTGATTCAGTCTTTTTGAGTTTTGTGGAACGAATTGCCTGATTCGAGTGAGCAGCGTTGAGTCAAAGTTCTTTTCTTCTCCTATTAACAAGGCTGAAGAGGAGCCATTGACACGTGCAGGGCTATTCTAAGACTGACTCACCTCTGAGAAGATGCACTAGCTGAAAAATTAAAAAGGGGAAATACTTGAGATATATATGGAAAGAGTCCTTACTGAAGTAATTTAAGAATATATAGTAGGAAGTTGTTTTCATTTGTTTGCTTTTAGTATTGCTTTGTATTCATTCACTCCAGAGTACAGAAGAGTTCAGGAGAGCATGCCCCAGGGAATCAAGTGTATGATCTCACATTTTACACTATAAACAACACTGCTGTTCAAGGGAATGCACTGTCAAGCTCACTCCTGAGCGAGCAGAAGAAATTTTGGCAGAAAAGTGGAATAAGAAAGGTCCCTCTATTAAGTTAAAACAGTAGAACTTATTTAAAGTAAAGGGTGAAAATCTCACCTTGCTATATATTAGTCTAACCATGCTTTACTATCCTCTGACCCCAAATTCATGAGTGATTCTTATTCTATATCACAACTGCATTTAAAATGAGGTTTTTTTTCCTCCTCGAGTGGTGTAGCTGGGACGTACCCTTTAGTGGGGGAAGTTATCTTTCTGCCCATGATGGCAAAAAGTGCCTAATACCTTTTCAAAGTGCAATGTAAAGTTTCATTTCTAAGCAGTTAAGAGGATGCTATTCTACTGCATTTTAGAACCATGTTTTAATCAATCTTTATACCTGTTATTTATTGCTATGCATATAAGGGTCACGATCAGCTCAACTAGCTTAATTCTCCTCTACTTTACACTGATATTTAGCAGGAGTGAATCAACTCCATAACCCTAACGGGACTGAAAGTATAAAATTGATGCAAGACCAGTGAAGTCTACTAAGCCTTTTCTAGAGCTCTCAGGAAGCATAACACCAGGTGCTGAGCAACAAAAAGATCCTCAGGGACTTTGAGCCAGTTAGAGTTTTTCCCTTCTCTTCACCTACTATTCTTTCTCCTCTCCTCTACTTTTCTTTTTTTTGTTCCAGGCCATTTTAGAACGATATGACACACATCTAAATTGAGTGTGGAGTTATGAGGGCCAGGACTGCTTCCAGCTTATGATCTGAAGGTGCTTCCATAGCTGACTAGTTAAATTTATGTAACTTTTAAAAAAGCAGATTTTCAGTATGAAAAACTAAAAAGGCTTAGTCAGCTTACCAAGAAAATACAACAGCGTCTCAAAAGTTCTGAGATAGCAGATCTTATCCAAGGGGATCTTATCCAAAGGCTGAATGTTGACTGAGCAGCTTTATGAGCTCCCAGCATACTGGGCTGGAGAGCAGGAAAAACAAAACAAAAACAAACATATTTTGGAGAATTTGCCATAGTTTCAAAATACACTAATGAAGTTTTAGTCACCAGTACCATAAAACAGTAAGTGACTCTCACCAGAGATACAGTTTACAAAATAAATAGAAGCTATTTTAATATTGAGGCTTTCTCGCTAAGTAAGCACAACTGTGCTTTTTACCTTGGAAAAAAAAATCTACCGGACACAGAGCTTAACATAAAACTGCTTCTAGTATTAAAGTATTCAACGCTAATGAACCTCATGCTAAATCTAAAATGTCTGCAGCCTTGGTTCTTTATTCACTCATTGAAGAATTCAGCATGGAGTGCTAAATATATCTTTTTATTCATTTACAAAAAAATACACCACACTTTAGCAGTTAGTTTATAATAAAATTCTGTGCTGTCT